ACGGATTTCCAAAAAACAAACAGTAAAAATAACGGCTATTAGCCGACTAAAATTATTTGTGAATACTAAATAAGCGTAATTGTAATACCCTAATACCTACTCCCTTCTTGGCATTTCCCAAATGGATTTGCAAAAATTTGACTTCTTGGATAATATTTTCTTATTTTAATCACATAATTACAATATCAATTATTGTTAATTAAATTTTAATTTGGTTTTTGCAATTTAATATAGATTTTAATGTAATTTTTTAATATGTATATTTTTATTATTAAAATTGAATTATTAAGAAATGTTGACGTTGCAAAATAAATTGGGGCGGAAGTAGCAGTATATACGGAGTATTTCATTTTCCTCTATGTTTTTTATAATCCTCAACAAGACATATTTTATTAATAAAAGAATAATACAAAGTACGTAGTACTAGGTAACTTTAACTGAAAATAGTTACCAAATTTCTGTGCCTATAACTAAGTTTTTTGATAGTGAGTAATGGTTGATTAACTGATATATAGCTGCTTTGATTGAAAATAGCTAATTGAATTACTCAAACAACAACAAAACTTGTTTCGTGAATAGCTGTATCATTTAGGCTTTATTTACAAGTGCTTGTGTTTAAATAAAAACACTTTTCGGAAAAAGTGATTAGTAGTAAAAGTTGGTAGTGTTTGATAAAATAAGTGCTTTTGTGTAATAGAAAAGTAAAAAATAGATTTTACATGAAATTCGAGAAAAGTAAAAGTTGATAGTGTTTAATATAATAAGTGTTTTTTTCTTAAAGAAAATACAAGCACTTAATTTAAGAGTTTGCAAACAAGCCCTCACTTGATTGATACCAAACAGCCGAATGAGAAAATGCCAAGTGGGGCAGCGTTTTGCCCTTCTGCTTAGCGGTTTGTTCGTTATACTATTTATATACTCCCTCCGATTTAAAAACAAGTTCCACATTTCCTTTTCAGGCAGTTCCAAAATTAAGTTTCACTTTCAAACCTTTCCTTATTTGACAAATTATCTACATCAAAACAGTTCCAAACAGTGTCAAACAATGTCAAACATTGTCCAAACAGTGCACTCCACAGTAAAGTCAAATTTCTTTTCTTAATATGTCTGAAGTCAAATGTGGAACTTGATTTTGAATCGGACGGAGTATTTACATATTTGTGTTGCAACATAGTGGAAACTTTTTTACATGTAGATTCGCCTATATTATTTTTAAAATAAATACAATATAGATTAGTAACTTCGATCTCTGTAGTAAAAAAATCACTTTTCTGTTTCGTATCCCTATTTCAGAGTTTTGTATTTTCATTTTTTTACATTGTTTTGTATTTTCATTATATTGTTGTTACGTTGCTTGCTTATATTATTATTAGGATGTTTTCTTTTGGATCGAAATTTGTTGGTCTGGTCTGATCTGTTCTGGTCTGGTCTGGTCTGGTCTAGTCTAGTAAATGTCTGGTCTCTGTGTATTTTATAACTACGGAAGTCTGATCTGGTCTGGTCTGGTCTGAGAGTGAAAACAGTCCAAAAGAAAACATCCTTAGTCCCAGGGCCGGTCCTAGGGGGAGGGCAGCAAGGGCGACCGCCCTAGGCCCGAAAAAAAGTAGAAAGAAAATTAGGCCCAATTTTTTTCTTTATATGTAACCTGAGTAGGCTTCTTTTTTTTATTTATAATTTCAATTAATTAATTAGGTCTAATGTGTAATTTTTGTTGACAATTTGAGAATCTTAAAATATAAGTAAAAAGTCTTTGATGATAAAAAAAAAGTAAAAAGTCTTTAACAGAGCCAGACAAGTTTTTAGAAAGAATATAAATTTAGTTTTGATTTTTAAATAGACCTGGTTCTAAGTCAACACATTTGTTGTTGAATCAATAAAAACATGTCTCTTCACATCTTTATAGCTTTTAAGATTTTTTATTCTTTTAATTACAAAATTACCAATTTATATTATTGTCTTTGGGCTGTCAGTGCCTCACAATACTCAAACATCATCGTACTATGGGCGAACCGTCAATTACGTCCTTGTACTTTAGAAACACTCAATTGAGCCCGTCAACTCTTCAAAAACATTCAATTAAGGCTTTGTAACCGAGTGTCTCCCGGTTTGCCGGTTGCTCACTGATCTCGCAGCTTACGTGGAGGTCATTTACCTCTCTAGTAAGCTGAGTTAATATTTTTTAAACACCTCAGCCACCTACCCTATCCTTCCCCAACACTGCTCCGTAGCCCTAAGCCCCTAACCACCTTTATTCGAAGGTCTGTGAAGAAGGGAAGCCGCCATCGCTGGTAAACAGAGTACAAAGAACAATATAAGAAGGGTGAGGAGATGAGGGTGCAGCTAAATCTAGGTAAAAGAAGTGGAATTTTATGTTGTTGGGTGGATTGTTGCCTTGTTGGTGACTACCCTTCTTTCATTAGCTTTTAGAAAGCAGAGGAAACTAACCGGAAAAGTCGACGGCGGAGATGACTATCCTTACACCAGCTACTAATATTCTCTCTCTCCCCACAAAATCAGTTTTCCACCTTCAATCTGTATCTCCATCGGAAGCACAAAGTTGGGTGGAAACTCCCTGGTATCTTCTTTCTTTGTTTGAGTGGATGAAATTGGATTAGTTGTAAATCTGCTCTCTATTTCGTAACCTCCTTATTCTCTGTCTCTAGCTCTACGGAGTACGGACCAAATTTCTTAAACGCGGAAGGGCTATGGTCGGAGCATGTTGGGGAAAGAAAGGAGCTGATGTGTTCAAAAGTATAAGGGCTCTGCTGGAACTCGAAGGTGGAGGGCATCTGCAACGACGTGCCGATGCTCTGCGGGTCTTTTTTTGCAGAGCAGCCAACGAACTGCCGGATGGCTTGCACGGACTTGGGGATTAATTGCCGATGCTCTGCGGGTCTTTTTTTGCAGAGCAGCCAACGAGCAGCCAACGACGTGACGTGCCGATGCTCTGCGGGTCTTGTATATATATATACAAGAGGAACTTTTTAAGAGCATACAATGTGCCACATAACCTTGCCATGTCATCATATATAATAATTATTTAATTATTTTTAACTTTTTATTGTTATATTACATGTTGATATGGTCTCCAAACACAAATTCAGAACTTCTCAACATTAAAATCACGTTCATGTAGGCTTCTTGGTGTTTCTAAAACCAGAATTTAAAAACATAAAAATTCCGTATAGCGCGCGCAGCTGTATGCTATTACACATTACATATTGATCATCATAGTATTGAACACTTGCTATTATTATAAAAAGACAGAGAAAGTAAACTACAGTATGTTTTCATTATTCAGTTTTATAAATTTTAGTAATTGATCGAGTTTCTCCTTCGTTTGGGGAGTTCCATTGTTTAGAGTTCATACATCAAAAATGTCATCACAATAAGTTTCTAGAGTATTTTACTGATGTATTATTAAAAACTATGTACATTAGTATATATCATACTTTGCCATTAACATGTTTATGATGTCTGATATTATGCATTATACTTGATTGATTAATACTACGCATTAAATAAAATTCGAAAATTATTTTCTAATACGTCAACTTGATACATCAAAGTCCGACTGGAAATTAAAGTTTGTGTTACCCGCCTCTCTGATGTCATCCAAACTGAAAAACTTAATATACGGAAATAGATCAAAAAAGTATTAATAATAGTTGATTTTCTATGGAAAGTACAAAATAACTATATAGCTTATGCGAGAATACAAATGAAAGGATTATTTGATAAGATACAAAAAAAATTCTTATGAATAAACACAATGAATCAGAAATAACCATTTACATGTCAACAAAAATACAATGCCATTTGGAATAATGCATATATAATGAATCCCACTCACTAGAAATGTGCTATATATGGTACCGTGCTCTACATGGATGGATCAAGCATTTGAATTGAGAATGAACGAAGGAATGCGTTTGGATTCCATGGCATCTTCAATTTTTTTAAATTAGTTTAGATAGCTCAGATTTGTCCAATTTAGAAAAGAGTTGAAATTTTAAAAACTACACTTTTTAACATTTTCAAAATGACAAAATTATGAGTTAAATGTAACATCTCACTATTAAAATTTAAAATTAATTATGCTTACCATTGAGTCAGAACTTAATCAATTTCTGCAGAACCAGTTGATTCGATCAATTCCAATTTTATCAAACGGGCTCTATATTAAACTAAAAGGGGTTGTTTATTTTTTTTTTTCTATTATGTCATGTCTAGATTAACATGCATGTCTAGGTCTGATTAAATGATATTTGTATTTGAAGCTGTTTATTATGTATGCTGAATAAACAATCTGGATCGTGTAAAATAAACAATTCCATATTATTCTTGATTTATAGTGTCAATGAAAAAATTCATTTATTAATTGAAAATTTGAAAAAAAAAAATGACAGAAAAAACGTCTCAATAGACGTCTTAATGGGAAGAACTGTTATTCTCCAATTTAAGGATTAAGTTAGTTTTTTGACTGAATGATTAAGTCATATTTTCAATTAAGTAGTAAGTAAACATTACTTAATGACTGAATGATTAAGTCGTCAATTGTCATAAGTCTATTAAGTCGAAATTATACAACCCTTGAGTTTACATTTTGCTTTTGCATCACATTATATATGATTTTGAAAATAATCAAATTTAAATTTAGCTAAATTACGTACTGCCCGTGCATCGCACGGACTTGAAAACTAATTTTTACATAAATCAATAGAATCAATCGATTCAGTCACTTCGATCAAAATTTCATACTCCCTCCGTTCTTTATTATTAGTCCCTCTTTCCTTTTTGAGACGTTTTTTTTATCTGTCCTCCTTTCCTACTTTTTCATTTACCCCCTACTCATTACACCTTTTTACACTACCCCTACTAGTTTACTCTTAAAATCCGTGACAAAGCCTAAGGAGAGTAATAAAAAAGAACGGAGGGAGTAAGTTATAGTCAAATGTGATACTATCAGACAAGGTCTAGATGATTTAAAGTTATTGGCCCAGTGTTTGGTCCGGTCCAATTTGAAAATCAAATGCCCAAATCTGGAATAACCTAATCGATCGTGTACCAATTCATGAGCACCCCCCAATTCATCCGATCCAGCAATTCTCTCTACCGCTCATCTCTCAGCAAGACGGTCGGAAGCTATATTGCTCTCTCCGTTTCCAGCCCCTCTTTCCCTTAGGTCGGTCGCCGTCTACACCACGCCGTTGGTCAAGTATCCCGAGGTTGCTTGATTATTACTAACTGTCTTCTTATTTTTATAGCATCTTGTTTTGCTTGTTCGTACATATCTTTTTATATATTATCAGCTGTGAATAGATCAAGATTAGAGATTTCGATGTGTGTGTGTGTGTGTATATATATATATATATATATATATATAAAGACTTTGATTATTAATTTTAGGTAAGAAGACACCAATGCCTCCGAAGTCAAAGAAGCTGCAAGCAGGCCCCGGAATGAACAGAAAGTCTCGTCTCACACGAGCTGCAAACAAAGCCCAGCCAAAGCCCCCTGATGAACCGTTGAAGGCGGACCAGGTAAAAGAAGTGGATGACAAAACCACTGTGGATCTCAAAGAGGATGCCATGGTCGAGGAAAAAGGTAATGCTAGTGAGCAGCAGTTATCTCCTGCTAGGACTGAAGATGAGCCAGAGGAGGAACATGAATCTGAGGCAAAAAGATGCCCCCCTACTAAGAGTAAGTGACATTGTCATTATTGTATGGTTTATGTTTGTGAGTTCTTGCTGTATGTCTCTTTATGATAATTATTGCGTTCAAACTTATTCTGTGGCAATCTTTTATTTTTTTTTGGGGTATATGAGCTATTTGTCTATAGTAGTATTAGTAATCTGGTGAAAGGCTGAAAGATTTGATCTTTATTTAATTTTTGCATATTAGTCAGATTATATTTAAAACACTGCCTCTGCGTGTACGGATTACACTCTTCGTAGTGAGATGTTGAATCATTAATTGTAGCACAACTTTTTTCCATGTTTCTTGAATCTCTCTCAAGGCATTTTTCATACTTGAGGAAAGTACGTTATTAGTATGTGTAAGGTCCCCTGAATAATACAACCATTAACTACCACGAGGAAGGAGTAAAGAAGATGCGTCCTCATGTGTGACAACAGTTCTTTTGAAAGTTATTTTGTATGCTTATGGTCTACGTGGAAGCCATATTGCTATCTCTGAAAGTCATTGTAAACCGTGGTTTAATACTTTAAGACATACTATCTCCGTCCCTTATAACTTTGCCATCTTTGACTTTTCAAGTCAATGATGGTAAATATTTAGCCAATGATTGATTAGTATTATTATATGAAAGTTATAAATTTTTTACTTACCAAAGTATTTTCAACAAAAAACATTTCCATATAATTTTTATTTTATAAATCATTTCTTATAAAAATATATCATTGGTCAAAATTTAATTGATTGACCAAAAGATTCAAAGATGACAAAGTTCTACGGGTGACATTTGGTAAAGTATGTAGTCTGTAGGTCACTAAGGTGTTAGGAACTTGTATATTTCAATATGTTGACTGTCCTGGATGAATATATTTTTCAATGGCAGAGGAGTTGGAACCGAAAGAGTCGGTTGAAGAGTATGAAAAATGTGAAAGGTTAGACTTGGAGGATAATGATCCTGAATATGAAACTGAAGAGTATGTTGGTGCTGATTATGATGAGAGAGGAAGTGAGCAAGAAGATGAACAAGATGAGGGAGATGAGATAGAAGATAACGAGGAGGACTTTATTTGTGGCGAAGAGGGTGAAGGTGATATGGTTGAAGAGGTGGAGGAGGTTGAAGATGTCAATGAGGACCTTGAGGTAGAAGAAGGTGATGAACAAGAAAATGAAGAACACGCTGAGATGGTTAATGCAGCCGAAGAGGAAGAACACCACGAAGTGGTTAAAGAAAGACGCAAGCGTAAGGAGTTTGAAATTTTTATCGGTGGCTTAGACAAGGATGCTACTGAAGATGATCTGAAGAAGGTCTTTAGTCCAGTTGGTGAAATCACTGAAGTGAGGCTTATGATGAACTCCCAGACCAAGAAGAATAAGGGATTTGCTTTTCTGAGATTTGCAACTGTAGAACAAGCCAAGCGTGCTTGTGTAGAGCTAAAAAATCCTGTGGTATTTTCTTGATTCTGTAGTTCTCGAGCTAAAACTGATTTCATGTTTTTGTCAAGAATATTGTCCTGATAGCCAAAGTTCCAGGTTAATGGAAAAAAGTGCGGTGTTACTCCAAGTCAAGACAGTGATACTCTGTTTTTAGGCAACATATGCAAGACATGGACAAAGGAAGCTGTAAGTAGACTAGGTCGCTTTATATTGTTATCATCAAGAATAAGGTTATAAGATCATTTTAAGCTGTTGCTTAACAGCTGTTACTTTGATGTTCACTTTGCCCTTCCAGTTGAATGAGAAGTTGAAGCACTATGGCGTTGAGAATATTGATGACTTGACACTAGTGGAGGACACAAATATCGTAGGAACAAATCGCGGCTTTGCGTTCTTGGAATTCTCTTCTCGTTCAGATGCTATGGATGCTTTTAAGCGTCTTCAGAAGAGAAATGTTGTCTTTGGAGTTGACAGACCTGCCAAGGTTTCCTTCGCAGATTCATTCATTGATCCAGGCGATGAAATAATGGCTCAGGTAAATACTTCCAGTCTGCACTATTGAATTCATAGACGGTGGAGTTGTTCCATTTGTAGTTGGGACGTCTCCTAAATAGAGGACATTCTGCTCTGGATTAGAAGTGGCCTTCACACTTTGGATTTGCTTTAGACAAGTTTTTTTGTCCAGCACTGTATATGCAGCATATTGCTGCTGAAGGATTAATGGAAAGACATTTAGTTGATACTTAAAGTTCAATCATCCAAAAAGACATGAATTGGGAAAACTAATATGAGCATTATTGTGGATATAATGCTCTGTTTTATTTATAGTTTCCTTTGTTAATTCTCCTCTCTAGAGTGGTCTGCATGTTTTTTTTTTGTTTCTTCAGAAATTTATCGTTTTTGTAGCCAACATTTTATCATATTGTGTTACGTAGCGGGATAATATTAGTCAACAATCTCCCTAACTGATATTTATTTATCCAGGTTAAAACGGTCTTTATAGATGGTCTTCCATCCCATTGGGACGAGGCCCATGTTACTGAACTTCTAAAAAAATATGGGAAGATAGAAAAGATTGAGCTTGCTCGTAATATGCCATCTGCCAAGAGAAAGGATTTTGGATTTGTGACATTTGATTCACATGATGATGCTGTTACTTGTGCTAAATGCATCAATAATGCTATGCTGGGTGAAGGAGACAGTAAGGTTTGTTATCTAAATCCATGTCATATCTTGCGTTGTGTCTCTTCCAAACATATTTCTTTCTTAAAAGGATCACCCACCTTTTAGGTCAAAGTTCGGGCCAGATTATCAAGACCCCTTTCAAGGGGCAGGGGAAAATATGGTTCTCGAGGAGATGTGGTGAGGCCTCGGCGCAGGCCAGTACGAGTGCCCAGGGCTCCGTGGGGACGCTCGTTGCCCCTTAATCTCCCCACTCGTGCATCAAGAGTTGGTACACGTGGACCGCCTTTGGTTGATCGCAATTATAAAAGATCTGCTGGTTATAGAGATAGAAGACCAGCCATTGCTGTCCCTCCTAAGAGCAGACCTGTTGCTCATGTGCCTAGCAGGTCATATGAGAGAAGGCCGCCTGGTTGGTATACTTTTCTGTTGTGTTCACTACTCCCCCAGCATGTTTACATTTACATTTATTATTGATTTATTATCATGCAGCTCATGCATATACAAGAAGTAGTACGAAGAGAGATTATGGAAGCAGAGCTGCAATAGACTATGCTCCTAGAGTGCATTCTGACAGGCGTTCATCCTATAGAGACGAGTATGCTCCCCATGGATCTGGCTATAATGATTTTCCAGGAGGAACATCTAGGACTGGCGTACGGAGAGCATATGTTGATGATGGCTATGAGCAGAGGTTTGAAAGACCCCCTCCAGTGTACCGTGAAAGCCGTGCTCGGGAATACGATTCTATATCTGGCTCTAAACGTTCATATACTGCAATGGTCTGATTTTCATTTGCCTTTATAATAATTATTATTATTTGTGAGATGCATTGGTCTTCTCTCTGTATATCAGTTCATTTTACTGATGCAAAGAAATGTTTTTTCTTCTAATGCATTAGCAAGATGATGTTCCTCCTCCCCGATATGTTGAGGCAGGAGTTCGCCGTTCTCGTGCACGATTGGACTATGAGTATGCAGGACGCAGTGCTTCTCAATATGGTGGTTCCTATGGTGACAGGTACACATACATATGTGCCACTCTGAAATAATTAAGTAGATAAAACTTTTTTTGGTACTAGTACTTTGGTTAATTTATTTTGCACAAAACTTCTGCAGACCTGGAAGGCCTCCTATTGGATATGGGGGCAGAAGTTCTATGTCTAGTCAAGATTCTCATGGACTTTATAGTGGTCGCCAGGGTATGGGGTATGACAGAGGTGTGTTTTGAACATTGTTTAACTCGTGTGAAATATTAGTTCATTAATTTTTTATGTTTTTAAATTCTACTTGGTTATGATGAGATTTGTTTTTGCAGGATCCTATAGTGGTAGTGATGTTGGTGGAATGTATGCTTCAGGCTATGGTGGTGATTATATGCCTCATGGCAGTGATGTAGGCTTTTACTTTATTTACCTCTTTCAAGCCTATAACTTCAGTCGTCCCAAAAAGTCATGTTTGGGTAATGTACAACCATTTTTTGTGAGCTCAATCAGGTTTCACAGTTATACAAGTTCTGTTTGGAGTATACTGATCTCTCTTTCAGTGTGGCTTTAAAGGAATTGTACTTGACTATTAATATTCACTGTTGAAACCTTGTTATTTTACAATGCTTCAAAGAAAAGTTTTTGAAACATGACTTTTATTTGGGAGGGCCGAAGGGGAGGGAGAATATCTTTAGAAATTGACGTCTTGACACTGAAGGTTACTTTTTCCATCTATTAAAATCAGATGGGTGGCAGCTCTTACTCGTCACTTTATTCTAACCGTGAAACGGGGGGTGGAAGCTATATGGGCGGTAGCAGTTCAAGATCTTATTACTGAGGCAAGTCCTATTTGTCTAGTTGTCTTTCTAGCCTTACTTAATAAACTGCTTAGGTAGTGATATAAATTATGAATGTGGAAGTATGCTATGGTCGCCCTCTTCATACTTTACCATCCATACAAAGATAAACAAATTGGTGAAAACTAAGGTATCCTATTAAGAAATTGAGCTCTTCTGGAAGTGTGGTTCCTAGAAGTCATATATTCTGTATTTTCCTCACAAGAGCCATCACTGAGGAATGGAGTGAGCAATATGGTTACATGTCAATTTCTCTACCATACAGATCTGAAAGGGCAAAGAGGCTGCATGGAGTGCACTATTTAGTTGAAGGCTTCTCCATTATGGATTGGAAGTATTACATCTAGCATGCTGAGCCTTGTATGTGGTTTGGTGACATGCATGATAGAACACCGGGTCTTATTTATGGAGATGTCACCAGGAGATTGGTAGTTCAATTGTACTGAGATTTGGATGCTTCGTAAATTTCTGCTTTTAGGGAACTTACAGAATTTCAAAGACGTGACTGCTACATATCCAGTATTTGTTGTTAATTTTCTTTTTATCTAAACTTTTGGCATCTCCATGAAAGAGCTTGTTTGAAATAATAGTAAAAGTGGAGTGGTGTTGAAGTGCCAACGGATGCCTCGTAAATTTCTGCTTTTAGGGAACTTGCAGAATTTCAAAGACATGACTGCTACATATCCAGTATTTGTAGTTAATTTTCTTTTTATATAAACTTTTGGCATCTCCATGAAAGAGTTTGTTTGAAATAAAAGTAAAAGTGGAGTGGTGTTGAAGTGCCAATGTTGTCTTTTACACTTCTCAAGACTATTGGACGAATGGTGTATCATGTATCCATTTAAATATCCGTACGATATTTCTCAATGCTTTGTACTGAAAATTTATGGATTGCAAGGACAACCAGTCAAAGAGAATGCAAAAGAAGAGACATGGAAATCTTTTTATTGGTTATGAAATGTGGATTGACAGGGACTTCTGAGAGTGAATTGGGTTATGGTCTCCACTTTTAGTGAAAAGCATATTTTTCATTGAAGAGAGATGGAGCATCAATTGCATCTCTCAGTGTTACCAAATTGCTTTAGCTTTTACGAACATTGTGATGTTTTGTGCATTTTAGGAAGAATCAGGCTAGACAACCGGTTGGGCTAAAGGATGATGTCTTTCTATGTAATTTGCTCACTTGCGCGCAACTAAAAAAGACCAGTGCTTGGGATAGCAGCCAGGACTTCTCCAGTGATGAAGTTTGTCTTTAAGAAATAGGGGAGTGGAATTTCCGGTTTTCGTAGGACACCTTTCAAATTTGCTTTTCATTATTCAGATTAGTTTGAGCTTAGAGTGTGCAAAAAATAGGTGTATGTATTATATTCTTATGCTAATTGGACTGAAAAACAAAAGAATGCTCTATTATTTGCGAAGGTGGAAAAAGGCTAGTTCCGGTTTGGCGAGGCTCTGCCTTGACTCTCACATTGTGGATCAACCCTGCATGTACCAGCATTCTAATTCTAGTTCAAATACCAGCATTTTGGTACTTGCCAACTCAAATATGCATAGTTACATGCCTGGAAAGTCTCAACACAGAGACCACTCATCAGTCATCACATCCAAATACACCAGTCTAGAAAATCTTCACCATTCATGATTCACCTCTATTACTTTATTTCAAAAATGCCCCTTGAGTACCGCTCCTTCAGTTGAACTGCTTGTATGTTCGAGTTTTAGTTCCATATGATTGTTACCCATCCAAAATTATCTTCATCAAGGGCATCCATAGGAGTAATGCTCTAGGAGACAACAAATATAAGCTTTTGAATCAATCATTTATCATCCAAAGAATGCGTGCAAGTTTTCCTAGAATGTCTACATTAATTTCTTCTCCTTTACCATTTCTCCATCACTAAGGCTGGGTTTAGTTGGGGATTTCGGGAGGGAGGGAAGGAAATTAGGGGATTGATATTTGTTTGGTTGGAAGAAATAGAGAGAAAGCGGAAGAATCTGGAAGGCTTCTAAAGCCCCATTTCAAAGCCCCGAAATTGGGGTATTCAGACTTCAGAGGCAATGAATATTACGGAAGTTTGGATACATGAATGGACAAAAAGAGCATTCTATTCAGAACTCTCAAAATCTAAGCAGCTCAATCTCTTCTCTTGCGACTTTCACTGCTCTTATGCCTTTCAACGCTTATAATGGCTATTATTACTTGCTACAAAATACCCCATTAGAAGTTAAATCTGAAATTATTTCATAATTTAAATAGTATTACTTTTTTTCATAGGTAATCAGTTGCTTGAAATAATTCAACATGGTTAATGTCAATTATTTTTTAACATCTGGCTCTATGTATAATCAAAGTAATATTATATTTTCTATATTTATAAGTAAGAAGAATTTTTAATAAATAATTTCAATAAAAAATAAATAATTAGTCATAGGGCTGTTCCTCCATTCTCTTTTAGTTCCAATGTTCCACTTTTCACAATTTCATATTAGTAAAAAATAAAAAAATTCATGTTTTGAAAAGTTAAAATAAAAGGAATTTAACAATATTTTGTTAAAATTAATTTATAATATATTAATAAATAGAGTATTTGGATTCATCACATTCATCACATTAACTTGTTTTATAAAACAAGTTATAAAACTTTCCTCCCCTTTCCTCCCACCAAACATAAATGTTTATCAAAATCATTCTATCACCTTCCCTCCCCTATCCTCCTTGGCTCTTCCCTTCCCTTCCCTCCTTTGAACCAAACAATGGCTTAATGTTTTTGGCTGTCCGGTTTCTCCACCAAGGCACCAAGCCTCTCATCTGATAGGTAGTCATCTTTTAGCTCTCTCTATTAGGGTTTAGAAACTTTAAACAGACTAACTCATACTGATGTTATTTAATCAGTGAGTAGTCGCTGAGAACACAGTGAGTACTTGCTCTCGGGTTAACGCCGGGTTGAATAGGTTACCTACTCGATTATGCGGTTACCTACTCGATTATGCCAGAAGCCTTTTGTAGATTACAAAAATTCATGGATGTGATGATATATGTGTCTTGAATAGTGATGAGTTTTGGTTGAATATGCAAACATATCAGGGTTTCTTTCCATGCTATTCAACTTTGTGTATATTTGGGATATGTTATTGCTTTTGTTATCATTACTGCATGTTTTTTGAACCCCTAAAGGCAGCTTTGTGAGGTAAAGCAGGTCAAGACAGGGAAGGATACGGTTTTTTTTTATTACTTTTACAGTAAGTATGTTTTAGAGTTGGTCTTTTAGTGCAATTTATATTACTACGTAATAAGTAGTTTTGAAAGTGTCGAATTGGATTTCTGTACGCGAATTATGATTTATGAACTGTGTGATATTGATCAAGCTGAGTTTTGGAAGCGTTACGTACGATGGCCATCTTTGATGATCCATTTGTAAACGAAGCATGGCATTGACTTTTGTTCTATTTGGTGGTGTTTTAAATCCTATTGGCAACTGTTTCTTTCAAATGTGAATAGTTGACCATCATTACTGCTTGGAAATGGTGTTCTCCTGGTCCCGGGTCCCATTTAATAAGACTGGAACCGACCCGGATAATTACAGGTTGCGGTCCCGTTCTGGTTCTACCCTTACGGTCTCAGAGGCCGGTTTGTGACTTAGAGTATTAACACATTTATAAATTACAATTAAAAATACTTCAAACTTTAAAATTTAAATACATGAACTAATCGTCGGCATGGGTTGCCGTTTTCTCCATGAAATGGCTGTCTGGTGTAATGTTCACTTCTTGTATTCCACATTGCGTCTCAACTTCACAAGTATTAAAGTGTAAGTACTATTCAAATGTGAGTTTATTAAATTGTATAATAATAACTATAAAAGTGTATCAACTTTTGAAGTGACTAATCTTATAGTGTGGGCCGTGTGGCTAATGTAAATGAAAGTAATGTGACTCTCTGTATTGTGGCTAATATTAAATTGTAGCAACTATGAAAATGTAACAAAGGTACTAATCTCAAAATTTGACTATCTCAAAATGCAAGTTATTTTTACGTGATAATGTTACTAATCTTAAAATGTGGCTAATGCAAAGAGTGTGACAAATGCCAATGTAAGTAATATAATTAAGGGGCTAGTATTAAATTGTACTACGTAACAACTATCAAAATGCAGTCAATATTAAAATGTGACTACTCGTACAATGCAACTAATATTCAAATGTGACTATTATAAAAAAGCAAGTAATATTTAATTCTAAGAAGTATATAAATATAATTATAATATGAATATTCTTTCTCTGTTCCCTTTTAGTTGCAACACACAAGTTTGACCATTAATACATTTCATTCACAATAAGTAAAAAATAAAAAAAAATTAGATATGTAAAAATTAAAATGAGAGGAATTGAACAACATTTTTCAATATTTAATTTATAATAGATTAATAAATAAAATGAAATCAAAGTAGAATATGCGAATAATGTAAAATTCATCAATGTTGCAACTACAAAAGAACGGAAGTAGTATTAAATATGAAAGTGTACGAGTAGCAATATAATGTAGGATTAGAGATTATAAATATAATTATAATATGAATATGAATATATTGAATATGAAAGTGTACGAGTAGTATTAAATATGAAAGTGTACGAGTAGCAATATAATGTCGGATTAGGGATTATAAATAATTATATAGTATAATAAGTATATAAATATAATTATAATATCAATATATTAAAAATGGAAGTGTAAATGCAAACAATGTACGATTAGATTATGATAATTTAAGAGTAGAGAGATCGAGAAGTAGAATTGGAGGAAATTAAAAAATGCATAAAACGAAGGAAAAATTGACAAGAATAATCTCACCTTTCACTGGTCTTCTCATAATAATCCTACCTTTAAATAATCCCAAAATAATTACACCTTTGCATCTCATCTTCTTTCATTGGACCCTGACCATGTTTTTTACCCTTTCTTTGAAAATTATACAAATAATCTCACCTTTCACTTTTTAATTATATCCTTATAAATGTGAGATTATTTATATAAGATTTTTAAAAAAGGTAAAAAAACTTGGTCAGGGTCCAATGAAAGAAGATGAGGTACAAAGGTAGGATTATTTTGGGATTATTTAAAGGTGGGATTATTATGAGAAGAGCAGTGAAAAGTGAGATTATTCTTGTCAATTTTTCACTAAAACGAATAGCTATGTGTAGAACTTTTTTAGGCCCTCCCTCCCCCCACCCCCAAACACTCCCATTCCAAACGGCTAGTTGCCCCTCTATCCCCACGGTCCCACCCTTTAATTAAAAAAATCTAGCCATTGGGACCGAAACCGCCCGATCCAATCCCCATATCGCCTACTCGAGACCGGGGTATATGATTTATGAAAAATCAGTGATCAACATCATCTTAACTTGAATTGAAATGATTAAATTTGTCAGCTTATCAACTTATTCACTCCGCGATCAGTTGCTGTGTGATGTTTACTCTATATAACTCTTTAGTTTATATCATTATTTGAAATGTCATTCATCTCATCTACATATGAATCATTCAATCAAGCATTGTCCGAAAGCAATCCCATACTTTAATGTTGAACATGTCTAAATTTTGACCACCAAGATGATTCTCTACATGGGCGTTCCTGGAGGGGAGGGCAGGAGGGGCGATGGCCATAGGCAGAATGAAAATTTTTAGGCTCATTTTTTTTTTTTAATTTTTTGGCTCATTATTTTGACTATATAATAATGGTGAGTAGGCTGAGTTTTTGGACCGGTACATTTCCTAATCAGCTAATCTAATCTACGTTTTCCAATAAAAATAGAGTACGTGTATTAAAATCGAGTTGTGGACAATTTTTCGAATAACAGTAAAGAAAACAACGATCATAATAACAAAATTTTGACCATACCTTAAATTCTGAAAAAACTCTAAGCATGGTGTGGCCGTGGCTGGGAGGTTGACCGCGGCGCTTTACACGACTTAAGGGGGAGGCTCACGTTAGGAAGGTCGGTCTGGGTGGCCTTCAAGCTCCAATGACAGATCCAAAAAAATATGTATCGGGGGCCCTAACCCATAATATTCAAACTTATAATTCAGTAGGTATATGATTTAGCACATAAATGATTACGTGATTGAATAGATTTTATATATCTAGTGATATTTTAATGTAAGAATTAAATATTTGAGTAAATTTATGCATTGCATAGTTTAAATAAACGGTATTTTTTTAGTTTTTTCTTTAATTGGATTAAGGATTAAGGATGTTTTTAATTCCGAAATTTTTTCATCTGATCCGGTTAGCCTAGTAAATGTGTGGTATATGTGTATTTTTATAACTGTCTAAGTTTAGTTTGTTTTGATCTGATCTAAGACTGAAATTAAAACACAAGTCCAAGTAAAAACGTCCTAAGAGTGGACGTCATTATGTAGAACAAGTGTAAGTCACGAAATAAATTCTTACTTAACTAGTTTGTTGAGCATTATTTTTACACAATTACAAAAAGTGGATAAATTTCATACTATGTATATGATACAGTATTAAAGAAAAAAGAACATTAGCTACGGAGAGATTTGCAATTTTCGTCTCCTCTAACTTTGGTTCGTTTTTACACAATCTGAAGGAAGAATAGTCAAACTTGTGTCATTCTGAACTAGGGGTGCAAACGAGCCGAGCCGAGCCGAGCCGAGCCCGAGTTTATGTAGGCTCGAGCTCGAGCCCGAGTTTATGTAGGCTCGAGCTCGAGCTCGAATTATATTGTATTGGCTCGAGCTCGAGCTCGGCTCGAACGAGCTTAAAAAATCCGGGCTCGAGCTCGGCTCGCAAATATTGATTCGGCTCGATTTGGCTCGACTCGGCTCGGTTCGGCTAGGTAATTTTGGTTCGTTCAAAAGTTACAAGTTCAATTAGCTCGAAAGTTCGTGTTCGAACTCGAGCTCAAGTATGAAACAATCTTTAAATATATGTGCTTAACATTTGCAAATTGCAATTTACATGCCCAATAACTAAACCTTACGGAAAAATAAACAAAATACAATTCTAACTTCAAGTGTCCACCCAATTGTACTTCAAATATAAATCAAAAGTGATCAACCCATTAAGAAATAGTGGATGAAACTTTGATTATTTTTGTTAAATTACTTTATAATTAATAATATCTCCCGGGTCCTCATATACATTTATGAATCAGTATTATATATATATATATATAACTAATTTATATTATATATTACATATACTAATATATACTCCGTATTATATATTAATTTGTATTGTATATTAATATATTACATATATTAATTAAATATACACACGTATAACTAGGCTCGCGAGCCGGCTCGCGAGCTAGTGAGCCTAAAATCAGTAGGCTCGTTTCTGGCTCGACTGCTTAATGAGCCGGCTCGAGCTCGGCTCGAGCTCGAGTTTGACCGATCTCGATCTGAGCTTTGACCGAGCGGCTCACGAGCGGCTCGGCTCATTTGCACCCCTATTCTGAACCATCACAATACATTTTGTGTCTAAAATTAATATAATCAATATACAAGCATGCACATTTACCTCAGAATCTCAATTAATACTCATACATAACATTAATTAATGTTAATTAATGGTGACAACTCCGGTACCTTTCTAAAATATAGGGTACTGTACCTATCATTCATTTGATTGGACCACATCACTTTATCATTTTTAATTTAGATTTAAATAATTCAATTGCTACATTCTCATTGGTCCATGTGGACAAAGGTATGGTACCTTTTGGGTACCATAGAATCTACCTTAATTAATACTCAGAATCTCAATTAGAGCATCTCCAATGCTATAATGTGCACGGTGCACATGTGGCATGAGTGATAGCCACATAAATATTAGCATATAAATTATCTCTCTCCTTATTTGAATGATTTTATACAATTTTGGTAAGTTTTTCCCTGCAATGTCAACAACAATGTCAACATCTAGACGGTCTCCTTGACATTGTGGAGAAAAACTTACCAAAACTGTATAAAATTATTCAAATAAGGAGAGAAAGAATTTATTTACTAATATTTATGTGGCTATTTCTCATGCCACGTGTGCACCGTGCACATTTTACCATTGGAGATGCTCTTTTTAAACTTTCATGTAATTAACTTACCATAAATAATCAGAATCTCAATTATAAATGCTACTACTAAGTAATTACAAGCTAAGAAATGTAACTTCTAACATAATGCTTATAATTGCTAATTGAAAATCAATAACTTTTTGCACATCATATATAAACTAATAAAGATTACATTTCCGAACTTTAATAAATATGCAGGCATAGTTAGCCCTCAATCATAATCAAAATCATGTTTTAAAATTGAAGTATTAAGTTCTCCGTAATTGAGTAGTAGCTAAAAATACATACAAAAAATACATACTAAAAATGCATACTAAAAATACGTATAAAAGTTGGTCAATTCTATACATTAGTCATTAGCCAGTAATCGTGTCAGACCAATGACTAGGAGTCGTTGATGACAAACGCATGGCGGGACCTGATACTGCTGCATGTGCGCCATGCTTTGGGCTCTCCTCATAATTACAATGCTATTCAACATAAGAGTATCTCCAATGCAATGGATGCATTAGAGTTGATGTGCAGTGGCGGAGCCAGAAGTCTATAGTTAAAGGGGCCGGTTCTTGAAAATTTTACTTTGCAGGGGCCAAAGTTTAAAATATCAACATATTTTCTATAGATTAAACGTATTTATACATAATATATACTTAAGAATTTTTTTCCTTGCTGGGGCCGAGGCCCCCTCCAGCCCCTCCCTGTCTCCACCCCTGTTGATGTGGCAACTAAATGAAAAAGAGTCCATTCAAATGGATTTCCAATGCTAAGGAAAAAGCAGATGTAAAACACATAGGAAGAACTTGTAGGAGAAAGAGGGGGTGAGACTCAAGGTCCCAATGTAGGCCTTCTCTTGGACTTTGGTCATTACCAATAACTATCTCCGTTCCAAATTGATTTGCAAATTTGACTTTTCTTGGTTAAACAATTTCATTTTAATCGCTTAATTATGATGTCATTTTTAACTATATTATTATTTGGAGTTTACTATTTTGAAGAGATTTTAATGTAGTTTCTGAATATGTAAATTTTAATTATTAAAAGTCTAATTAATTATCGATAGGAAGTGTTGACTTTTATTATTGGTTGACCGAAAAATGTTGACTTTACAAAACAATTTGGGACCATGGTGTAGAATAGACCTCACATTTTTTTGTTTTTGCATTGGAGAGTACATTGAGTCCATGGGGTGAGGTGGATGACATTTTTTGACAATCCACCTCCCCATTGAAGATGCCTTCACATGGATGTCTCCCATGGGAAGTTAACGGTTGCTTTTTCTTTTCAAATATTCTTTTCCATTGTAAATTATCTATGGAGCGGGTCAATGTTCTCTATAAGAGGACCCTGTTATCCCCTCTACTCAAGAGAGTTTAGGCCAATTATTCTGAATTTGCATGCGATTTTCTTAAACACAAAAAGTGATCAAAAGTAAGTTGTAAAATATACCCCGTACTACTTTTTGTGATCTCTTTAAACTTTACAAAATGAATTTGTTTAAACTTCAAGCTCTAAACAAACTGGAATATACTTTTTTCAAGGGGCAAACATAATTAGTAAAGTGTAATGAGAATAGTTAACACCCAATGACCCAAATTACTGTTGGAAAATTTTTGGAGTATTTCAAATGAATATAAATACTTGTTTAAATTAATTTTCTAACTTTTGTTTTACACGTTCATATTGTTTTAATCTTTTTGTTATCATTTTAATTAAATCAATTTTGCAAAATAAAGGAGTGTTATTTGTACGTACCTTACTTATCAAACGTGTGTGTTGTGTATATTAAAACTAAAATAAACATAAGGGCCGTTCTACTGCTAGCTATTATCATTAAAGGATAATTTAACAGTCCAATGTTTATTGCTTTGAATGAGTATAAGTGCATGACTCGTTTTCAGGAGTTATCAACTTGAAAGCCTCAACATTAATTTTATTTAATAATTTAAACGTTGGGTCTTTATTGCAAACATTACCAGCAACGATCACTTTGCACATATATACATATGTTCGGCCAGGCCATCAGGGGTGTGTGAGAGAAGATTTATTTTAAGTGAACATCCCCTAATATTTTCACTCTGCTGGATTAATATTATTTTATACTCTCGTTGTTCTGTTACCGGCTTACGCCGAAGAGCTCGGTTTATCTTGGGGAAAGGTTTTCGCTAGTCGGAAATACTTTCTTGAGGACAGCGTTTACGCGACTCGAGCTATATTATTATTTCTAACGCTTTTGCAGGTTTATCTGGTGAATTCTTCCAACATTCTCAAGAAAGTATTTGCGTCGGATATGCCTGCACATATGATCTCACGAGGTCTTGCCATCATGTGCGCTGCGAATAGGCTATGATACACCCGCATGGGAAGCCATTTTCAATCGGATAAACGGTCACAAAAGGCTTCTACGTACTTAATTACGGTTGGTAAATTATTGTGTTATGTGATATACCCGTAGTAATAGATTTACCGTTTTATATGTCATTTTTATGTTTCTACTTTTGTTTGATATATGAAACTCCAAAATATCCTAAGATTGATATTTAGTGATATGGAAGCACCTTCTAGAAAAATGTGAAATATTTGATGATTTATATAAATCTTGTTAGAGCATCTACACTGTGATTAAAGGTGGTAAAAGTTTTTTGTCACCTTTATAGACGATTTTTCTAGATACACTAAAGTAATTTATTTCTTTAAAATAAAGATGGGGCGTTGAATAAATTCTTAGTGTATAAATCTGAGGTGAAAAATCAATTAAATAAAAGATTAAGAGAGTTGGATCAGATAGAGGGGGCGAGCATATTTTATTTAATAATTTAGTGTGAATTTTAGAATTGAAGTGCTATGCACATGTTTTTAAATATCTAAAATTGTGGGGGTGCTTAGTTAAATTTTTATTATCTGTCCCATTGAGTGAAAATGAGTTTTATAACTTTTGGCTACCTTTGCATAAATTGATACAGTGGAGCACACATATGTGATTTTCATAAATTGAAGAAATAGTGTGCTAATGTGCAATACTTTAAGCTATGTAATTGCTGATATCAATGTAATTATTTTGAAGAAAGTGTACACATTAAATGATGCATGTATAATTATTTGTTTATACGTTGTTGAAACAAAATTGCTGATTTAAAAAAAAATGTGTTTCCTTTGAAATTTGAACACAAGACCGTTGCACCATATAGTGAGTATAATCCATTACAAGGAAATGAAACTTTTAATGATGAACCGGCCTCTAGTGATAGTGATTCATTAAAAATAAAATTATTCTTTTAATGATGAATATTCTCTTTGAGAAGAAGTAAGAAGCCAAAGATAGAGAAATCCTTTGGAAATGATTTTTATACATATCTTATTAATGATTTTGGCTAGAGGCCATACAAACTAAAATTGACTCTATTTACAAACATTATTAATCAAATGGATGTTAAAATTGTGTTTCCTAAATGGTGAGCTAGAGGAAGAAATTTATATGGTGCAATCGGAGGGTCATGTGGTTAGTGATCAGGAATACAAAGTGTGTAAGTTGATAAAATCTTTATATGAGTTGAAACAAGCTCCAAAACAATGGAATGAAAAATTTTGACGAAGTGTTATTTATTTATGATTTTACTTCACTAGAAGTAGATAAGTGTGTATGCACTTAATGTGAAAAGTTGTGTGCATTATTTCTTGTTTATATGAGGATAATATGTGATTTTGGGTATGAAAGCCATAAGGAAGGATATGATGATGGTATTATACTATATCTCAAGAGCATCATGCTGGAAAACTTCTAAAGAGGGTTGGACATTTCAATGTCATTCCGTGATCGAGTATCCCTTATGACTCTCATATGTACTTAAAAAAAATAGAGGTGATCTTGAGGCTCAATATGAGTATTCCCAAATTGTTGGATGTTTATTACACTTAATAAATTATACGAGGCTCAAAATAGCTTTTGCTGCCCTACAAGAAAATTGACTTTCTACGACCACCAATTTGCGACCTACATCAAATACAGTCCCAATATATGTACTAATAAAGACCACATTTTATATTGTCGCAAATGATTGATTTATCTGGGACCATCTGAATATCCTTTCCCTATTATTTCAATTTCCCGTCGCTAAAAACTTTTGTTTCGGCCGGTGGCGCCGATCCATAAAAAGATGCGGTCCAATTTAATTTTTCATTTTTTGTTTTTGCTGCTCAAGAATTAGAAAACTGAACCCTAGACCGCCGCTTGCGCTGGAAAAATCCTCGTGGCAATATCGAAAGCCACTACACCGGCGAAGAATCCACATCTCGAGCACTCGAACAAAAGAAGCTCTGTGAAATGCAACGATTTGGAATTCTACTAAACTGGCGAAGAATCTACATCGCGAGCACTCGAACGAAAGAAGCTCGGAGAAACGCAGCGATTTCGAAAGCTACTACACTGGCGAAGAATCTAAATCTGGATCAATCGAACAAAAGAAGCTCTCAGGTTCAATCGCCACTTGTGCGGTTCTGTGCTCAGCAAGAAGAAAGTGCATCAAGATGTTTTTCGTAAATAATTTTCCCATTCTTATTTAGCAAATATATGATGATAGCTTCTCGAGAGATTTCTTAACTACTATTTGTTTCGTTCATCGTATCAGATTTTGATTGTTTATTTTTCTGTTCTGATTTCTATGTGTTTTGCCAGTTAAATGATACTAGTATAATTTTGGTTTTGATGTTGTTTACACTCAAGTTTTCGACCATAAGGCTCGTGAAAGAGCAGGACTAATTACTCATACTTTTGCATCATCAATCCCTGTGTTTCGCTTTTTGATGTTGTTGTTGAGGTGAAAATCTTATCAGGCTGATAATCCAAATTACATGAAGTACTCGATTTCTTTTATTTTAGAAGAACCTGCATTCTAACATTTTATATACTTACATTCAATTACTTATAAAAATCAAGATACATTAACTAAATTACTGTTGATGGATGATTTTAGTTTGGACTAAACCCTGCTGGTACCTTTGCTATCCTAGGTTCTTTTATAATCATGCTAAGTGTTGAGTACTGGGTTTAGACTTTGGTTAGTGATAACATCTGGGAGTTGTATAATGTATTTAATCCAATACATTTTTTCTAATGCATTCTTGCCAACTAACTCTCATTGTTTTGTTGTCTCAGATGATGCTAACCTTAGCCGCCCACCCATACGACCTTATATAATGGTACATACACTTCTTTCCCTTAATCCAAAGATCATGTAGGCTTCTGCATGAAGCACGATGAGGCGAGTGTTCAAACGATGTCTGCTTCTCTGGTTACATGATTGACAAAATGCTTGGCCCCAAACTAATGGCTCCAAAATTTAGTATTTGTTTGCTTCTTTGGTTACATGCTTGAGAAAATGATCCTTGTGCTCTTTTCAATGTCCTTTTGGTATTATTCATTGACAATGGAGGTCATTTTTTCACTGACATCATTATCCTAGCAAGCCAAACACATGAAAATCTGAATATGATTTCTAGAAGCCATTCTCCACATTCCTAAATGGATGGTTCTGGGGCTACGACTATTAGTATAGCAGTTGTCATTTTAAGTTGTGTTTTTTTAGGAGAAGACATTGAGATTAAGAATGTGAGAACAGAGGAATACAAAAGAAGTGAAATATGTGAGAACTGGAGAGGATAAAATAGTTTTGGTATGGGACCTAACAAAAAAGTTTCTTACATCCAACCTTTATATCTTCTCAATCAAAACCATGGAAAATGAAATTCGTTGCTCTTCATTTTTTCTCCATTCTATGTCTCTTTTACCAAATGCACCATTAGGTACAGGTAATGATGGATATAAGTCTCCTTATAATAGTGGGGTATTTGCAGAAGATCAATCAATTCTATGACTGTCAATTCCCAAGCTTTACAGAGCTAGAGAGGGAGTGAGATCAATCAATTGTTTCAAGTTATTTCTTTCTTTTCAAAGCTATAACACACTAATTAGATGCTATACTATAACCAAGTAAATACTCATTCATATGCACATTCTCTGCCCCTATTTTTGAGCTAGATATTTTTTTGTAGTTCCTTCAAGTAAACTAAAGACATAAATGTTTGCTGATTTTGTAGTTAGATTTTTTACTGGGAGGCTTACTTCTTTTCTTCTTGAGGGGCCGACAGGCATGAGGTCTTTCTATATGTTGCAGGTTTGTGTCAATTCTATTTAGTTCATTGAAATTATAGCTGCTTGGATTTTATAACCATTTCTTTCTGCTATTGATTTGAGTGCAAGATTTACATATGTGTGTAGATTTTCGCTCATACGAAAAATGATCCTTCTGGACTACCCTTTTATGAAGAACTTGAGTATTTCCTATGATCCTATCGATTACGAGGTAATTTTATTTATTCATGTTCATTATAGCTTTCTTTGTGTGATTAATTGGCAGTTTTGGTACTCTAGATTTTCTGCTTGTTGGTTCTCCTTTGGAAAATGTAAATTGAAAACTGAACCTTGTTATCTGAGTGGGTTTTAGTTGAGACGGTTTTTGTTGGTTTAGACATATTTGGTCGGTTCTAAAGCACCAATCTTAAACTAAACTGTAAACCAAAGTGCCTAAGGTTTTGGTCAATTCAATCTCAATTTGCCAGTATTTGTTCAGATCTTGTTAGTACCATTCATATTTATCTTCTCATTATTTAATTATTTATATATATATATATATATATACGATAGTATATATGTGTGTGTGTGTGTGTATACATACCGATCTGATAAGCTTTGAATACAATTTCAGAACCGTAAACCAGGAGAGGATGTTCTAGAATGGCCTACAAGGAAGCGAATAGCATTGGGCACGGACTTGAGTATCTACATGAAGGGCGACGTCTTCTAAAAAGAGCGTGCTTGAAGCCGCTGCATGTAGAGAAGAAGAAATTAAACCCCATGCACAAAATATCATCGTAATGGAATCGAAGTTGATCTTCAAAAGATTAAAGAGATCTAGGAAACAAAGAAAAAATCAATAGCTTGTAATTTAATGTACCGTTGCATGGTTCAAACATGGCATATTTTTTGTATATATATTTTGGGATAGGTTTTGTACTGAATATCAAATTGATAATTGATTACTTTTGATATGAAATGTTAATGATTACATTTAAAACGGTTTTCTATTTTCTATTTTATTTTTATGTTTGGATCTTTGCAAAAGAATAATTAAAAATGTATTGATTTATAAATTTATTTTCAGAACTTTAAATTAGCGAAGGGAAAGTGGTCGCAATTAATCATAATGTGGTCTCAAATAATATTATTAGCGACCAGATTATAAGTGGTCCTAAACAGTTTTAGCGACTGACTTTTTTTCTGGTCGCAAAATATCTTTTGCGGCCAAGCCAATAGGGACGGCACCGCGACCACTTTTATTGGTCGCAATTAATCATTTGCGACCATTTATTGGGTTTTTGCGACCACTTTTCCCTTCGCAAATGAACCTTTTTCTTGTAGTGCTGATAGGGAGCATTGGACTGCGTTGAGGCAGTTATTGAGATATTTGAGAGGTACCATTAATGATGGATGGTATATTTGATTGAAATTATTCGTTGTAAAATATTGATACAACGATGATATACGTTTTATTGAGAATTATCCATTGTACTAGAGTAGTAGTACAATGATGTTATATGAGAATTATCCATTGTACTATAATGATACAATGATGATATTTATTTGATTGAGAATTATCCGATGTGCTAGAGGCCGGGTCACATCGATGTCATATTTATTGAGGGTTATCCGTTGTAATTTCCGGTATACAACGACGACATCTGAGTCGACTCGCATGAGACAATTTAAAATTGTGGATATCCATTCACCCTTAAAAGCGGTGCAATGATGTTTGAGAATGGAATTATTTCCATTAATTTTGTGAAGTCAGAAGGAATTAGCTACTCCTTTGACAGAATCCCTAGGACGAAAAATGATAACTGAAACATCGAAGGAAATGGGACTAGTGTCACTTGAAACAAATGGGGATGGGAACCCAACTTGTGTGATTGGAGATCCCATGAAGCAAGTTCAAATGGGTAATAACAAGTCTTCCATTTAGTTCTGCTAGCCTAACTAAATTTGCCCATTTCCATGATGTGAGATATAGGCTAGAAACCACATTCTTTGAGAGGGTGAGCTAAAAGCTCTTAATGATTATCATAGCCCTTAATTTAAGGGTGGTGTGCAAAAGCGGTACACACTTGATGATATCACCTATATGAGTGTGAGGTGGGGCCGCCTCCATGAAGCATGACAAAACTTCTAGAGCACTCATGAAAACCAAGCACGCGCATGGCCTTACGGCGCACAACGGCGTAATAACGAGAAATTGTGCAGGGTGAGACACGACCGTTAAGACCCTGATTTACCAATAGTAGCTTGTTGGTTTCAAGAAACTATAGGTTTCACCACAAGCTCGGTTTATTAAGACTTAATCGTCTCGGTTTGGTTTCAAGTCTACGGACACCAAACTTAAAGTCTCATTCCTTTAATCCAGCAGGAATTTTCTAAACTTTTTTTAACATCTAAAAAAAAAATTCATTTGAAATATGTGGGGGATTGTTGGAAAATTTTTGGAGTATTTCAAATGAATATAAATACTTGTTTAAATTAATTTTCTAACTTTTGTTTTACACGTTCATATTGTTTTAATCTTTTTGTTATCATTTTAATTAAATCAATTTTGCAAAATAAAGGAGTGTTATTTGTACGTACCTTACTTATCAAACGTGTGTGTTGTGTATATTAAAACTAAAATAAACATAAGGTCCGTTCTACTGCTAGCTATTATCATTAAAGGATAATTTAACAGTCCAATGTTTATTGCTTTGAATGAGTATAAGTGCATGACTCGTTTTCAGGAGTTATCAACTTGAAAGCCTCAACATTAATTTTATTTAATAATTAAAACGTTGGGTCTTTATTGCAAACATTACCAGCAACGATCACTTTGCACATATATACATATGTTCGGCCAGGCCATCAGGGGTGTGTGAGAGAAGATTTTTTTTAAGTGAACATCCCCTAATATTTTCACTCTGCTGGATTAATATTATTTTATACTCTCGTTGTTCTGTTACCGGCTTACGCCGAAGAGCTCGGTTTATCTTGGGGAAAGGTTTTCGCTAGTCGGAAATACTTTCTTGAGGACACCGTTTACGCGACTCGAGCTATATTATTATTTCTAACGCTTTTGCAGGTTTATCCGGTGAATTCTTCCAACAATTACCAAATGTTAAAATTACTACCAATAAACTGTGCCATAACTAAAATTACTATAATTTTAGCATTACTAATGCATAGTGTGTTGAAGAATGGAGTCTTGTTCATATTTTTTGAGCAGTTACCCGACCGGGTATATTGAAGTACCCGACCGGGTATGTTGAAGCAGAGACCTGGGAACTCACTGGAACGTGAGACCCGACCGGGTCAGGAGATATACCCGACCGGGTCAGTGATGGCTTTAGCTGCTGTTTTGGATACCCGCCCTGGTATCAACACGGGCATGAATTCTGTGAAGAGACCCGACCGGGTCAAGGAGGGCACCCGACCGGGTCTACGGGAATTTTTAATTACGGGCCTTAATTTAATCAGGGCTTGCGTATCTAATCTCAGTTTAGGTTTTCTTAAACCTATTTAAACGACTCTTATGTACTTGTAAACCTGTTGGGACGCTGATAATAATACATCCTCTCTCTCGTTCGCCGTGGACTAGCACAATCAAACCGATTGTGTGAACCACGTAAATTCTTGTGTTCTTGCTCTTAATTTATCGTTTATCTTTGCCTAATCGTAACAATTGGTATCAGAGCCATGGCTGACGAAGGGAAGGTTAAGATCGATAAATTTGATGGTCAAGATTTCGCTTTCTGGAAGATGCAGATCGAGGATTATCTCTACGAGAAGAAGCTTCATCTACCCTTGTCTTAGAACAAACCAGAATCTATGGCGGAGGCGGAATGGAACTTGTTGGATCGACAGGCCCTTGGTGTGGTGAGGTTGTCGTTGGCGAAAAACGTTGCTTACAACATCGTCAACGAGAAGACAACGTTTGGACTGCTCAAGGCATTATCCAATATGTACGAGAAACCCTCAGCGGCCAAAAAGGTTTTCTTAATTAGACAGTTGGTGAACACAAGGATGAAGGAAGGTGCATCCGTGACAGATCACATCAACGAGTTTAATTCAATCATATCCAGGTTAGGCTCGGTTGAGATTAAATTCGATGGTGAAGTACAAGCATTACTTTTGTTATCATCTTTGCCCGATAGTTGGTCCGGTACAGTCACATCGGTTAGTAGTTCATCTGAAACCACTAAGCTTACCTTTGAAGGTATTCGTGACTTAATCCTTGGTGAGGACATCCGGAGAAGAAGTTCGGGGGATAGCTCCAACAGTTTGTTGAGTACTGAAGATAGGGGCAGAAAATCCACTAGAGGGGGTAACAAGAAGGGAAGATCAAAGTCGAGGAAGAGAGGTCAATCCAAGAACAGGAAGGACATCAATTGTTGGAATTGCAAGGAGAATGGAAACTTCAGAAATCAGTGCCCAAAAGCCTCTACAGACAAAGGCAAGAAGGAGGTGAACGTGGCAGAGGACTATGAAGATGTTCTAATTTGCAGCGTTGAGAATTCAATTGAGTCCTGGATCATGGATTCAGGTGCGTCGTTTCATGCTTGTCATTGCAGGGATTTGATGGAAAATTTCAGGCCCTACAACAGAAGAGTTCGTTTAGCGGATGACAAATCCCTGGAGATCACGGGTATTGGAGATGTTGATCTCTATACCACTTTGGGTACAACCTGGAGGTTGAAAGATGTGAGGTATATTCCAGACCTGAAGAAGATGTTGATCTCAGTGGGACAGCTTGATGAGGAAGGCCATAACGTTAGTTTTGGCAACAAGCAATGGAAGGTGACAAAGGGAAAGCTGGTCATTGCTCGTGGACAGAAGCATGGTACACTGTACATGGTTGAAGTGTCCACACATGGAGCAAACGCATCAGTTGAAGATACAGGGGTCTCTACCTTGTGGCACCAAAGACTTGGGCACATAAGTGAGAACAGAATGAAGATGCTGTCTTCAAAGGGCAAAATCACAGATTTGAAGAATTCAAAGTTGAGCTTTTGTGAGCCATGTGTTCTAGGCAAGCAAAAGAGGGTAACCTTTGTGAAGACAGGACAACAATCCAAGACTGAGCGGCTGGAGTTGATTCATTCAGATGTCTACGGACCCACAAAGGTCTCTTCGATTGGAGGTTCCCGATACTATGTTACATTCATTGATGACTCTACACGGAAGGTATGAGTTTATTTTCTTAAGAATAAATCTGATATCTTTAACACTTTTAAGAAGTTCAAGGCTGCAGTTGAGAATGAAACAAATCTCAAGATTAAGTGTTTAAAGAGTGATAATGGGGGTGAGTACAGTAGCACAGAGTTGGTAGAGTATTGTGCTGAACAGGGGATCAGAATGCTGAAGACGGTTCCAGAAACACCACAGCAAAATGGTGTTGTAGAGAGGATGAACAGAACACTGAATGAGAGGGACAAGAGCATGAGATTGCATGCAGGACTTCCAAAGATGTTCTGGGCCGATGCGGTGAACACAGCAGCATATTTGATCAACAGAGGACCCTCATCTCCTATAGGTTTCAAAATTCCAGAAGAGGAATGGAAAGGTCGAGAGGTATCTCTTACTCACTTGAAAGTTTTTGGTTGTATTTCTTATGTCAAAGTTAGAGATGCAGATAGTGACAAGCTCGAGGCAAAGGCAAAGAAGTGTATCTTTATTGGGTACGGGATGGATGACATGGCTACAGGTTCTGGGACAACCACAACAAGAAGGTTATCAGAAGTAGAGAT